GGGACCGCGGTTCAATCCTCCAGCACCACATGCCAGCCAGCCGCGCCCCCTGGTGGGCTGAGCTGGCCACACACACACACACACACACACACACACCACACACACACAATAAATGTTAAAAAATAAATAAATAAATAAAATAAATTGATAAGTTCCCCAGGCTGGGCTCATATTTGCGATTCTCCTATGTCAGCCTCATCTGCCTCCCAGAGCACTGAGATTACAGATACGTTCGTCTACACCCAGCTTTTTTTTCTTTTCTTTTAAACAGGGTCTCACTTTGTAGTGCAAAATGGCCCCAAACTCCCAGAGATCCTCTGGCACACACATGTAATCCCAGCATAGGAGAGGTTAAGGCAAGAGGCATGAGTTCAAGGCCATCCTGGGCTACATAGTGAGTTCAAGGCCAGCCTGCACTAAAAAGTGAAATTAAAAAAACTTCTAAAGCAGACATTGATAAAAAAAAAATAGAGGAGATTAGAAAAATGACATATTCCTTGAATGAGCAATACAGGAAAGAAATAGATCACATGAAGCAGAGTCAAAGAGATATAGAGGAATTTAAAATCTCAAACACAAGTTTGCAAAACCATTTAAGTGTCAGTGAAGACAGAGTTATAGATCTTGAAGACGCTGGTGTAGCTAGTGAAAAGGTAAGAAAGGATCTCTGAAAAACAACTAGGATGAAGGAAAAAATAATCCATCACCTGCAAGATGATACAAAGATGAACAAAGTGAGACTAATAGGCATCAATAAGAAAGAAGAAGTCCATAAAAATTACATTAAGAAAAATATGGGCAGAAGTAATAACAGAGAACTTCCCAAATATGAGGAAACAATCTGACGTTCAGGTAAACGAAGCATACAGAATGCCAAGTAACCTCAACCCAATTAAAAACACACCGAGACATATAATAGTCAAAATCCCAGAAATTCAGCACAAGAATAATATACTGAAAGCCACTAGAGGAAAGAAGCAGATCACATTCAAAGAAAAACCCAACAGAACTACGACCGACTTCTCTTCACAAACCATGAAGGCAAGAAGAGCATGGAGCAGAGTATTGCAAGTCCTCTAAGAAAACAAATTGCAGCCCAGACCACTATACCCTGCAAAACTCTCTTTCAAGTTTGATGGAGAAGTGAAATACTTCCATGACAAACAACAACTGATGAATTTCATAATGGCAAAGCCAACCCTACACAGGCTACTGAAAGATGTTCTAGAGAGGGACCAAAATGATCAAAACTCCACAAATGAGAACAGAAGCAACCAACTAAATAGGGCAAGCAATTAAACATAGGAGAAAAAGGAGTAAATGACAACAGCTAAATAACATGTCAGTCGTAAGTCAATACATCTCAATTCTAACCATCAATGCAAATGGACTCAATTCACCAATTAAAAGAAATAGACTGGTACAGTGGATTAGGAAACAAAATCCAACAATATGCTGTATACAAGAAACACATTTAGCTCTTTCCCATCTTGCAAGATGGCTGGTGAAAAAACTGAAAAGCCAGACACTAAAGAGAAGAAACCTGAAGCCCAGAAGGCTTCTGCCAGTGGTACTGGTAAAAAGGGTAAGGTGAAAAAGGCAAAAAAGTCCAAGAAGGGGCAGCCCCACTGCAGCCGAAATCCTGTCCTGGTTAGAGGAATTGGTAGATACTCCCGATCTGCCATGTATTCCAGAAAG